TTTATTTATATATTATTATTATATATATATACGTACTATATATACGTATATATATATATATATATATATATATATGTATATGTATATGTATATGTATATGTAGAAGCACACACACACAAACACACACACATATATATATATATATATACTGCGGTTCACGTATATATGCATTTAAGATTATTATATCAGTGCACAACAACAACAGCCCACTATACTTGCATGTATCTACTCAACCCCTATATGACTATATAATAAGTAGATAGGTTTCTGTATTCATTTCAATCAGTATACAATCTATCTCACTCGCGATATATCATATCACTTGGCTTTTTAAGACTTTCCGAGCTGTACTTTATTCTTCATCACTAGATATTCAAGGTGACTAGTTTGCCTCGATCGGTGCTATTAATATAGGTTACCGACGCGGCCGAATCAAGCAAATTGGTTATGTGGATAGTGCACCGGTGTTCGCACCAGTTTTTTCTTCGTGTCACCGGTGATACGACACTGGCAAACAATAAAAAGGAATCATTCTGTTATACATTCGCACCACGCTGTGAATCGGAAAAATATGAATCTGAAAAATATGCTGATGGGCGTTCATGAGATGTTCAATGGCTATTTGGTTGCCAGCGGGTGACTAATCATCGTATCCTAGCATCGTAGAAGTGATTCCAACGCTTTCCAAAATCGGGACCATGAGTTTTCGATCAAGATTGTCCCGCATCATAGGTTGCCACATATACATAAACCCTGTTGTCATGCCAACGGCATAGAATACAACTCGTCGTATCGTAACCGGAACGTCTTTCAGACCCGATCTGCGGAGTGATGCAAGTGGTAGTGACTTAGCTGTTGTAGAAGCAGTACGAATGTGCAACAGGGCCAAGGCCTATATTAACTTTATTTGTTCGTTGTTGGTTGTTGGTTGTTGGATGGATCATAGCCGCTCATCTTGGCCCAGAGATCCAATGCACGAGTACGATTGACAACTGTTTGGAGGTGTGACACCTAGGTACCGAACATCCAGCTGTTACCGATAGTAGGTGGCAGCCTCGCGTGTACAGCGCTTGTACATACGAATGAATGAACACACACACAGCAACACACCACTGCCCCACATGTACAGGATAGTTCGTCACACCCCCGAGACACTCAGGAATAGCCCACTACTGGCAACTGGTCTAGTGCGTGCCTATTACACCTCACCTGGCACACACACACACACACACTCACACACTTCCAAGCGTAGCCTTCAAGCACCACCAGCACTCCATGGATTATGAAGAAGGTGAACCATTCCCATGTGAACTTGCTACTGGCACTCCACATGATGTACTCGTGTGCCACGGCGCTTACTATGAAGCACGTCATCACTGCGACCGCTTTAGCTGCCTGGTAGGACAGACCGTGGACTTTGCCAAAATAGGCTATACTTGGAATGTACACTGAGATCAGGTAAGGGTGGCAGGGACGCAGGGTTAAAGTAGGTAATACTTGGATTGTACGCAGAGATCAAGGAAGGATGGCAGGGTTAAAGTAGGTAATACTTGAATTGTACTCTGAGATCAGGGAAGGGTGGCAGGAACGCAGGGTAAAGTAGGTAATACTTGGATTGTGCGCTGAGATTAAGGAAGGGTGGCAGGGTTAAAGTGGGTGATACTTGAATTGTACACGAGATCAGGGAAAGGTGGCAAGGGTAAAGTAGGTAATACTTGGATTGTACACTGAGATCAGGGAAAGATGGCAGGGTCAAAGTAGGTACTACTTGGATTGTACACTGAGATCAGGGAAAGGTGGCAGGGATAAAGTAGGTAATACTTGGATTGTACACTGAGATCAGGGAAAGGTGGCAGGGTTAAAGTAGGCTATACTTGGATTGTACGTCGAGATCAGAGAAAGGTGGCAGGGATGCAGGGGTAAAGTAGGCACACGCCTTGCTGAGTGCATTTGGTGTAAATATCAGAACACATGCTATATATAATAGGTCGTTGTTACGTATGATATTGAAAGCTTACCTGTACGCCTCATCATCTCCTGCACAATGAGGTTCCACCGCCTCCCCCAGAAGTCAGCCAGGACAGCACAGAACACACGCCTCGTGTAGTACAATCAATGTCACGGGGTCTAACCGATTAACTCATCACATGGATCTCTATTGTAACTTAGACACGAATTGTTGTCCCCAATAGACACCAAGCATCGCTCGATATCATCTTCTTTGATTCCATTTGGGGGTCGAAGCTTACCTGTACGCCTCATCATCTCCTGCACAAAGAGATTCCACCGCCTGCCCCAGAAATCAGCCAAGGAATCAGACATGTAGGGCGCGTCAAAGGACATGGCGAGTGCGTTTCTGTGGCAAGCGAAGAGAAGGAGGACGTAATTGATAGGGTAAGTAGGACGTAATTGGTAAGGTAAGTAGGACGTAATTGGTAGGGTAAGTAGGACGTAATTGGTAAGGTAAGTAGGGCGTAATTGGTAAGGTAGGTAGGACGTAATTGGAAGGGTAAGTAGGACGTATTTGGTAGGGTATGTAGGACGTAATTGGTAGGGTAAGTAGGACGTAATTGATAGGGTAAGTAGGACGTAATTGGTGGGGTAAGTAGGACGTAATTGGTATGGTAAAGGCAAAGGAGGACGCCAAAGCTCAAAAATGGGGCTCAAATCGAGTGGTTGTTGCTGAGAAGGGATCAGAGTGCACAAAAAGTACGGTACAGGTCAACATCTGATGGTGAAAATTGAATTGGAACGTATTGAATGTCAATGGGATGCGATTGAATCGCATTGTTTCGAATGGATTGGGGTGAATCATGCGGTGCTGAGTTGAATTGCATAAAAAGTGAATTGTATTGAATCATGACGGATCGAGTAGCATCGAATTGACTTGCAGTGGTTTGTGTTGATTTTGTTAGATTGATTGAACCTAATTAAATCGTGCCGGATTTGTATGGCCTAAATGGGATTCACGAAAAGGAACCAACATGAAGAAAAAAACCCCCGTATAAATGATCACATACCCTGACACACGCTGCACGAAAGCGCCGGCCAAGTCAAAGGCACAGGTGGCCCCCAGGAGTATTCTCGCAAGGTACAAGAAGAAGGAGAACACCTGCTTGTTGTCCTGGGCTATCCTCGACATGAGCACCACATTCACCAGCAGCCACAGACCAAGGCAGATTAGGCCGTGATGTAGCTGGTCGCCTTTAGAGGTAACTCGTACCTGCGCTGCCGTGGACCGTACCTGTATGTTCTCGGGAGGTGCCTGTATTAAAAGCACACGCGTGGGAATAAGACTGTGACGAAATAGGCTCGTACCACAGTTGGCGATACTCCGCGAGGAGGGCTGGGTGAACTTCACTGACAGCGCAATACTTCTTGACGCAGGCGCTGTTGGCTGTGTGTCATGGTTTGTGTATATGGAAAACAAGCAACGGCTGTGTGCAAGCACTGAGGGGTTAAGGGGTTGTGAGGGTGTTCTATCAACCACTATCCTGACTGGGAGTACCAGGAGCAAAGTAGATGGATGAAACCCTTCATTCATACGTATAGAGTAGTGCATAGCACAGTCACATTAGAGAGTACTTCTAATTGGATAACATAGTGTGCAGGCATAACCTCGCTGTTGAAGCGGACCGGCACAGAAATCCTGCACAAGTGATTTGAAACGCACGCACATACACGGTCATACTCGATGTACACATATACCGATGCACACACATACACTAATATACAGATATGGCCATGTACATACACACTGATACACGGATATGCCAGTGCTATTACACCCCATGCTACTACACCCATACACTGAACTCGTTGTGGGTCTCATACTGTACGCTTCTCGCCGTCTACGTGGTGATCGCGCTTAACAGTCTCATCCGGAACCGTTAGAGTCTTGTCAACGGAGACAAACCGAATGGGTAGTGTCATAGTCATAGCAAAGCCTGCGATGGTATTGGCTGAGCTGTCGGTCAGCGGCCCATAGTTAATGCACAGTCCCACGATCCTGAGAAGTGTACGTATGGAGATATGATATCGATGAGAAATGTGTATATGTAAGTGGTATGTATAGTGGTGTAGGTATGCAAGTGACATATCGATGAGTTGTGTAGGTATGTAAATAAGATATGGATGAGTGGTGTGGGAAAGGGCCTTGTTGGTGATAGTCCTGGATGTGAGTCATTCGCAGCACCATCCCCACACCCACCCTTGCTACAGCCGTGGTTCTTAGCAAGTTTTGACATACGTTCCTCAGGAGAATGATAGCTGAGGCTGCGGTCACCACAGATACCCACGAACACGAAGCCTGCTCTGATAGAGTATGGCGTTGGTCGCCTCCTCGCTGTGATTACATTGGCAGAGGCAGTGTCTGCCCTATAAATGTCTGTTAAGAAAACAGGTATGTTGTGTGGGGTGGACTGTCACTCATACACCCCAGTGAGATGCAAAAATGGGATGCACGCGTGAACGCATCACAGTGTATCAGAACACACAAAACCCAACACACACACATACTCTCTCTCTCTCTCGCTCTTAGCACTCATTTGTGTGTGCGGACAACCAACATACACACACATACTTAGTACTCATCGCTGTATGAATAACCAACCCAAACACACACACGAATTCTTAGCACTCACCTCTGTATGGATAAACAACACAAACACACACACATACATTCTAAGCACTCACCTCTGTATTGATATCCAACTGTGTAGAGCTGTCATGTAGCACAAATACCCGTCAGCCACAGGAATGAGAAGCAGAGGCAGCAGGACTGCGACAATAGAAGAGGTGGTGTATGCAGAATCAGATAGTGTACTTGAATTAACTCGGCAGATAATAACACGTCCGATGTGTGCAATACACACACACTACACTATCTGCCTTGTGTGCAATACACATACACTACACTATCTGCCTACGTGTGTGCAATACACACACACTACACTATCTGCCTACGTGTGTGCAATACACACACACTACACTATCTGCCTTGTGTGCAATACACACACACTACACTATCTGCCTACGTGTATGCAATACACACACACTACACTATCTGCCTACGTGTGTGCAATATACACACTCTACACTATCTGCCTACGTGTGAACAATACACACACTACACTTTCTGCCTACATGTGTGCAATACACACACACTACACTATCTGTCTACGTGTGCGCAATACATACATTCTACACTATCTGCCTACGGGTGGTGAATGCGAACAAGTAAGTAGCAGTTTCCGACAACGGGATACCTATTCGCTAAATATCAAACGAGAATGGACACAAGCAGTCGTTGCCACGGATGTCTTCGAGCGCATAATAATGCACATTCAATGTCTCCTCGTCGGATAGCCTCGTCAGTATCCAATTGGCGGTATGTCCTGCGTACTTCATACATA